CATTAGAAATGAATGGTGGGCGGTGCCAATGATTGTAGGTTGGGTCAATGATAAGAACGACGGCATCGTGGCTCTCCTCACGCGTTTTTGCGCCGCGAAAGTGGTGTAGTTGTTGCCTCAGCGGACCTGACTACCTGCTCACGAAGGGAGAGGAAAATCTCAACTGAACGCGGACGCTGCCTTTAAGGTACTGCTCTGACTGATCCCTCGTTAGCAGTTGTAACTACGCTAATCCACCGCGGTTAGTAGGTTTGCTTGAATTGTTTTCAGACGCATCGCTCTGGTGCAGCATATACTACTCATTATCCACATCTACTCATCCTTAGTTGTAACGTGAACAAGAGGCAGTAAACGTACTGAGTTTAGTTGGCGTGTTTTAGTTAGCTGGAGAAACTTTAACTACAATAATTACATCAGAGCGGGAGCTTCAGTGCAGTGATAATAAAAGCTTGTAAGGACGCTATCGTAGAACTTCTCAGAACAATGCTAATAAGACAAACTTTCTGTTCATGGTAAGGAACTGGACGCTCAAGTTTATGCTGTCGCAATCATGAAGAGCGGTGTCAAAAGGCATGGAATGGGCCCACCGCGTGGTTTCCACCACTGGTTGTTTTCTTCCTGACCGTTTACCAACACGAGTACCAGGGCGGAAGATACCCAAGATGTTCCTCTATAAGCAAGCTGGCTCTCGCCCATCACCTTCATGTACACCAAAATATGAAGTCATCTCCAGTCGCAGCCTGACTGGAGAAGACCTTTGGAATTCATGTCACCTCCAAACAGCTGCGAAACTTCTAGTATGGAGTCACCCATGGATCCTGGAGACCAGTACTCTCGATCTGGAAGACCTCCAACATCGAGCAACTGCCGACAACGTCGCCGCGGTCTAGGACATCATCCTTCACCACAAGTGTAAGGCGCGGGTTGATGGGAAGGACCGGACGTACCTGGAATGAAGAAAGACCAATATTTTCTTCGTGGACCCCGGACTGAAGGTGAGCGCTGGCGGTTACATCGAGCAACTCGAGAAGAATATCCTCCCCACATGTCGTCGCCCGTACCTTCTTGGAAACTTTGTACTGCTACAGCATTGAGTGCCACCACATGAAATCGAAGGTTGGAGAAACTCTCGCCTACTTGGAATGGAAGGGGGCTGAGTACCTAAAGAAGATGGAATATCCAAGTAGGTCACCTGACCTGAATCCCCTCAATTACCCGGTTCGGGCGGAGTTCAATAGGGTGGTCTACGGTGGCGGAGAAATCGACTATCTCGCTGATCTCAGGCGGTCGCGTGCCAGAATCTCTCGATGGCGCTCGTCCAGAAGGCTGTGGCGGAGTGTCATGATAGTATTTAATATGCTCTTTAATATGGTGGTAAAATGTCCGATCAGAATTTAATAAAGTGTAACTTATAGCGCCTCGAAAGTCAATGAAGAAAAGTGACTTTTTTGGCCCCCCTGTATAGTTCGCTGCGGACGGTTGGGCGTGTCAGGCAGTATGAGTGTGTCACGCCGTCAAAGCCGTTCTCTGCCTTCTTGTTGAAGCGCGCATGCGACAAAAAGTGGTAGAAAACGAGTAATACGAACGATATGATACAGTCATATCATTTGCTCGCTTTAACAACTGGTGGAGAACGGGTTTGGCACCGCGCCAAACTCATCCCGCCTGACACGCCCAACCGTCCGCAGCGAACTACACTATACATAGGTTTTTTCCGGGAAACAAACCGAAGAGTTCCAGTGAAGCTGAGGGTTACAGATTACACATATCGAGGTGAACTCTGCCTTGATCAACAAGATCTTTGTTGGGGACACGATAGTTGCACTCGATGGCAAACCTATCACGAATTCCGAAGAGATCCATCGAAAACTGAAAGAACCATCAGAGGTCCGTATTTTAGCCGGATACAGCCTCAATCTTTTGTTCTTTTTGAGCCTTCTGCGCTACTTCAGAAATTTCTCAGAGAGAGGATGGTTCTCGGTGAATAGTATGTTTAGAAAGTGTCAGTAAAAGTGCGGCACGGTATGTGGTCATGGTGTGAGCTTCGATGTACTACACTAGAACGAATTCAGATGGACAAGGACACAGAAAAAGTCACAGGAAGGCCCATTGACGTCTACTTTGTAAGGAACATGCATATAGCACTTGTCAATAAGCTTGCAACTAACTAAAAACGTTGTCGCAACTATCATAACAGTGAGAATAGCTCGAAAGCGCCTCTCTCAGCCTGATCAGCTATTTTTAACTCGTTAACTAGTTCAAATTTGTGTTAGTGAAGTGAGGCTGCGTTCGTACCTAGCGACGATGTCGACGTAACCGACGTAGCCGACGTTTCGGCGCTACTTCCGCGACAGTTGAAAATGCCGTATTGATAGTAAACGAGCGTAACGACGAACTGCGACGTTGAAGTCGTCAACATAATCGACGTAAGCGACCGTTTTCGGCGATTAAAACTAGATTTGGAACGATCCACGTGTCGACGCAGTCGACGTAACCGACGACAGAAGATTAGATACGTATCGACTGACGTCGAAAATCGTCGGTTATGTCGGCGATGTCGCCAGCTACGTTGATTACTCGACGAGAGCAACCGCCGTCGGTACGTGCGATACGCGCTGTTACGTCGGATCGAATTGCGTACTCAGTCTTCGAAGTTAGTCGCAGGTTGGCGTGGTTACGTCGCGACGATGTCGACGTCCGTCGTTAGTAATGAAATGCAGGCCTGGACTTAGCATAGATACTCATGACTCGGATGTTCCATTTTTCAAGTCTTGCTTGCATTCACATAGGACTTGTCCTATGCAATGGCTGAGCGGTATACTTTGCCTTGTTTATATTCACAGACGAGTGAGTATACTCAAAGATGAGTTGCAATCAATCGAGTTTGAAGAGATCACTCGTACGATAAGTGACGTCCCCGATCACCATACTGCTTCCGATCACATCACACATCGACTTGCACCCACAGGTCACAGCAGAACTTACCAGGACTATAAACGGAGTGAACTTACGATTTTTCATAACAGCTCCTACTGCGGATTCCGTACATATGAGTGGTTTCCTTGACCCTTGACGAAGCTGCCATAATGGAAACCGAATCTGCTCGCGCAGTGGTTACGGGTGCACAAAAAAAGGACATTCGCAAGGATCACCATGACAGAGGGAACGCGATGAGATTGTTCTGCCTTGCCATCTGAAAGCAGTTTCCCAGTAATTCTGAGGTCACTGCCATATACAAGCCCCTTCTGCAAACATAGGAGAGAGTGCGCTTCCGCCAGGCTGGTGCATGAGACACTTGATGTGGCAGAGTGAAAACACAACAAATCTTTCAGATAGCGATCCAAATGAGCGCCGCTCCTGAGTTGAGCAACGTTCAGCTTGGTCTTCACGTAAAGTACGATGCCAGAGAAAGATTGCAGGTGCTCGATTCTTTCTTTTCACCTCTTGTTTATGTTTTCAATGTTTTCCAGGATTTGTTGAGTGGTCTTTTGTTCATGGGATAGATGGGAGGAATACTTTAGCAATGTGATGAGCAATGTGATAATTGATGATGTGAGCGGTCTTTTATACGAGCAGCTCTTGATAACGTCCAGATTCCTCTAACTCTATTCTTCTGAAAGTCCACTTCCACTTACTAGTCCTTGACCACTCTATTTCTCATCTTGGCATACAATCGACTGCCGCTCCGGTAAATCTGAGCCATGCGTAATCGCGCTTGACTACAGCGGTAAATTCTTCAGATGTGCAAGTCTGATCCCACTCAGTACTGCCTAGTAATTGTTTCATTTTGTGCAAACTCCCTGCTGATTTACCACCTGTGTGATCAGTTGAGAAATTCTTTAATTGACGGTTTCTCAAGAAGCGTGCGAACTTCAAACAAATTTTCATATTTTCATTTATAAAGCCGAACACATATTCTTGGCTTAGGTGCATAATGTCGATTACTCAAGTATCGCTGCTGTTCATCTCCGTCCTGGCGATATAATACGGTAGGTACTTTCAGTCTCAGACACTATTTTTGATTACGGTATTTCCTACTATTGGAAACACATGGGGTGTAAAAATCGCTCTTCTATATAGGCAATTTAACTGGCCCACCTTCAGAGTATCACTTATATTATGTTGGCCATTAATTCATTTTTTACCATTGCGACTTATACAAAACAATGAAATGACAGGAGGGGCGCCCTTTATGGCAATCTGGAGGCTAAACGCTAGGAAACTATTTTGTTGGCCAGTACTGTAGATTATAACCCTGTGGTAATTACTCCATTTTCCACCACTGCCGTCCTCCTTGAACTGGTATTGGAGGCGTTTTCTACCTCTTTCTCACAGCGACCTCTCACTTCATCTGGAGGAGCTGTGACATCCACAACACTCTCTTCATTTCCCTTATATGGATCAGGCTGGCTGGACTAAGTGGTCACAGAAAATGGGAGAAGATTGTTTTGCGTTAACAATTCGCGCAAGTGACAATGGATCAATGGGACAATGACAACAAGACTATGCAGGAGAAAATCAAACAGCTGTTTCAGAGAGGTGGATGACAAACCGGTAGCCAGCAAAACAATGTTGAAATACTATGTCACAGAAAGTATGCTGAAAAATCGACGCGTAAGGCAATTTCCTCCAATCTCTCTGCGCATTCACAATCATCATACTCTATATATAAAGTGAAGTTGTCTGTGTGTCTTGGCACCAATAGGAGAAGAGGCTCCGCCCACAATGGGCGGGGCCTATATTTAGGGCTGGGAGCGGGTGTCTCTTGAAAACGTCAACGACAACTACGTTAAACTGCCGGTCAACATTGAGGATGGGGTGTGAGCGGCGAGTGATGAAAGTGTGTGGTGAGGCCGAAAACAGCAAACTGACTAAAGCCCGCACACACATAGACGGGCGTCACGGGAGTGAGTAGTGCCAACGACAAAAATTCGTAAAATTCCTCCGGAAGATCACAGGGACTGGGGACAAAATCATTCTCTATGGCGGACCAAGTAAAAATTTCGAAGTTCGAACCCGGAACTACCTGAGCAGCGGGAAAACGTGGAGTAAGAGGTCGGTCGAGTTTGAACGGAAGGCATACTTGGAATGGGCGTGTGAAGGGAAAAATCCATCTTTTTCCATCCAGTATTCTGTGGCTATCAACATGCTGTTTCTATTCATACGATTCACCGAACAATTGATACAATTGCAGATGCCTGACACTGTGAACATGGGGGCAAATGAGCAGTTCTACTAGAACCTAACATTACTTTGCGAGGCAGCTGTTTGGATGAACCAATCTCTTGTGATCGGTATCGGCATTTTGTTACAGAAAATTCATGTGGGCTGCATTCTATGGAAGGGGGTTGGGCGAGGGAGGGGTAACATAAGTGAAGAGACACCCCAGCGAATGAGATGTGCGCCGAGTCGGCGACGCCTGCTGCAAAAGTTCATAATATAGTCGCAAGGCAAATGAGAGTAGCAGTGAATGTGAGGGCATAATCGAAAATTCATAACCTACTACCAATTTTTAACATGTATTTATTTGTTTATTTACGTGCTATTCATTCTACACCAACTCAAATACCCATATACTTCCACTTCAGTTCATCCGTAGCATCCATACCCGCATTCACCCTGCCTCCTTTTACGAAAATTTTCCGCCAACCGTAAACTAGGGGCGGTGGGTGGGGGGGGTATATACCAAGATGCTGAAACGGTCAATGTCTCTGAAAGGTCAAAAAAAGAGAGGTGGTTTCTGTAAGCGGGGGCGACGAGGGCGCCTCAGTTTGGATGGCCGGGGACCCACTTCACACGCATAAGGAGGATCGCCGCCGAAGGCGGGCGATCCGACTGGCCTCAGTTTGGATGGCCGGGGACCCACTTCACACGCATAAGGAGGATCGCCGAAGGCGGGCGATCCGACTGGGCCTCAGTTTGGATGGCCGGGGACCCACTTCACACGCATAAGGAGGATCGCCCGCCGAAGGCGGGCGATCCGACTGGGCCTCAGTTTGGATGGCCGGGGACCCACTTCACACGCATAAGGAGGATCGCCCGCCTTCGGCGGGCGATCCGACTGGGCCTCAGTTTGGATGGCCGGACCCACTCTCAACGCGTAAGGAGACGCCCGCCGAGGCGGGCGATCCGACTGGGCCTCAGTTTGGATGGCCCAGGGACCCACTTCACACGCATAAGGAGGATCGCCCGCCGAAGGCGGGCGATCCGACTGGGCCTCAGTTTGGATGGCCGGGGACCCACTTCACACGCATAAGGAGGATCGCCCGCCGAAGGCGGGCGATCCGACTGGGCCTCAGTTTGGATGGCCGGGGACCCACTTCACACGCATAAGGAGGATCGCCCGCCGAAGGCGGGCGATCCGACTGGGCCTCAGTTTGGATGGCCGGGGACCCACTTCACACGCATAAGGAGGATCGCCCGCCGAAGGCGGGCGATCCGACTGGGCCTCAGTTTGGATGGCCGGGGACCCACTTCACACGCATAAGGAGGATCGCCCGCCGAAGGCGGGCGATCCGACTGGCCCTCAGTTTGGATGGCCGGGACCCACTTCACACGCATAAGGAGGATCGCCCGCCTTCGGCGGCGATCCGACTGGTCAGATGTAAAAACATTACACCTTATTGTGAATGCGCAGAGAGACTACATTACACCGGGCAGAGACATTCTGTGTTACATTATAAGCGAGGAAGGACGGGGTAGCCCTGTATGTGTTCAATATCAAGATGACATTTTTCTCGGCCAAGCGCTGACGTTTGACATTCTTGATGTTTCTCGAGCTTTTATTTTAGATATGTTTCCTCATTGAGTGTCCTGCCGGAGAGGCATACCGCGAGAGTTGCGACATGGCACCTGATGTTACGGAGATTGCCCTCAAACAGGTAAATCAATGAGGCATACAAAAACGAAGTTAGCCGAGTCACATATTAGCTAAGTTTTCGCAGTCCAGACAGAAGACGTGGATACCAGTACAGCGGCGAAAGATACTCAAGATGTTCCTCGATGAGCAGGAGCAGTTCTCGTCCATCACCTTCATGTACACCAAAATACCATCTCCAATCGCAGCCTGACTGGAGAAGACCTATGGAATTCACGTCACCTCCAAACAGCTGCGAAACTTCTAGTATGGAGTCACCCATGGGGACCGGCACTCTTGATCTGGTGGACCTCCAACATCGAGCAGCTCCGACAACGCAGGATTTCATTTTTACCGCAGTCGCCAAGGCGCGGGATTGACGGTATGGACCAAAAGTTCCTGGAATGGGAAGACCGATATTCCTTCGTGGCCCCAGACTGAAAGTGAACGCTAACGGTTACATCGACCAACTCGAAGAGAGTATCCTGTCTTCATGTTGTCGCCTGCACCTTCTTGGAACATTCGTGCTGCTACAGTACTGAGGGCCAGCACATGGATTCCAAGGGCGTCGGAAGTCTCGCCTACTTGGAATTGATTTGCGTTGAATACCTGACGAAGGCGGGATAACAAGTGTGTCGCCTGACCTAAACCCCCCCCCCCCCCTCGATTACCGGGATCGAGTGGAAACCAACAGTGGTCTACAGTGGCGGAGAAATCAAGGACCTCACTGAACTCAGGCACCGGCAGAAACTCTCGATGGAGCTCCTCCGGAAGGCTGTGGCGGAGTATCGTTATAGTGTGCAGTGTGCTGTTGAATATAGTGTTGGAATGGCCAAATCAGAATCCAGTGAAATGCAATTTATATCGCCTTAAAGGGAAAGGCCTTTTTGGATCCTCCTGTATACGTGATCGTAATCCTTTCCAATTAAAGTACGGAGTTTCCATGAATTATGAACTCACACAAGCTTTGGTGCCAGGAATCTAGAAGACAAAAACCGACTGTATTTGTGGAGTGGGCTTATTTAAGGCATTTACGAGCCCACAGCCGCTGAATAATTATACAGGGCAGAAAAAAGCAACAAAAAACATGGAGAACACCCTAACAAGTAAGGACAGACCTGGTAGCCTCTCTGGACTTCTCTGAAGCTGCTCGTTTGGCGCCGGCGAAGTTACACTGCCAACTCTAGTTCAATAACCGTTTCTCCGCGTCATGCAATACTAATACTACCGGATAAGGAATAGCGCCCACTCTCTTGAGTTTTGGTGAACCAGAGAGGCTTCATAACTACCACTTACAACGGCTATGACCACTACGTTACTCACTGTGATGGCGCGAAAGCGGAATTATCTCAGAAAATGAGGACCACTCTACTTGTACAAAGAAGGACGCACGCCTAACAACACGCCTAACAACGCCTTGTATGAGCTGCTCGAGCCGGGGGACTGTCTCCAAGGCTTTCTTGATGGACACTATAACTCAACCTGTTCCAGCTTGACGACCGATTTGGTCCAGTGCAAGAGGATGATGACTCTTATTTTCTTCACGTTTCTTTAATTTTTAATTGAGGTTCTTCTTGAATGTGCCCTTGAACCACGCATGAATTTCTCGAAACCAAATTTTCAGATCGAACGTTTCAAGAAAACAGTCAATCAAATGCCGGCCGTCAGTGTGTACTCCAGCACACATTTGAAGAAGTCAGCAAGTGTCAGCATTGCTCCGAACGAGAGAACAGAGGTACAAAAAAATTGAACTTCAAGACTAGGAGCCTGGAAGGTCTCCGTTGAGCAAAACGATTCCCCTAAGGCTGCTTCGCGGTAGCCTCCACCAGCTACCATCAGCGTTTCAAGCGTCCGGCAGCGTCCAGAATGGAGGATATAGGGCAATAGGAGGGTAGCAGACAGCTGGTAAGGTATGGGGAGATAGGAGGATAACGGACTGCCAGTGGAGAGTGTAGGGCGATAGGAATGTACCAGCTGTTGATTACCCTCCTGTCGCCCTACACTCTTCACTTCTAGGACGCTACCGGCCGCTGATGGACGCTGCCGCAAAGTATGAACGCAGCCTAACAAAAGCAACCTGCTGCGCAGAAGAGATTCTCATTTCCAACAGGAAAAGTGTAGGTTGTACATGGGTGTGGTATGAGCCATGGAGTAATGCCTGTCAACTTCTCTGCGAGTAGAATCGCCCATATCTATTCCGCATAATTTGACATGCCCTTCCATCCGTTGAATCTGCACGCGCTTGTCTTGAAAACTGCTTGCTGCTGTATTTGTACATCGACTAGTCGCAAACTTTTATATACATCATAAGGATTTAGGGAGGAGGAGGGCTGAGCCATATCATCAAGGATGGCAGTTGTGACATCAGAATGGGTAAAGTTGAATTAGTTGAGTCCTTAACAACCGGAAGAGGCATAACTGCAGGATCTTGGGTGGCACTGAGAAGGAGAACTTCACATTGCCTTGTACATGTCAAAGTACGTGTCACACGGAGAGCTCGAATGTCACCACCGATGGAACGTCCCCACTCCCAGTTGTTGGGTTCCTTCCTTATTTTGCTTCAGTTGCGAACTTCACCACCTAACACAACGTTGCACATTGATATGAATTTCTCGATCTTCCCGTTTCAGCCGCGCTATATTTCAGCCGCACTATGTACCCCGCTGCCCCCCCCCCCGCTCGACACTATTTCACGCATTTAACAACGCTCTATCTACATCGAACATATCGAAGGAAAGTCTTCACACACTGAGCCTCTAATACTCGGCATTAAAGCGGTAAGGAGTGATAAAAATGTAGCGCAGATGGTATCTTATCCATTCTTATCGAATGATATGATTACCTGCCACCCGTCATCAATGTCCTTATCACTAAATCCTTATAATTTGGTAATGTAAAAGCTGCACCGCCTTGAACAGCGACGACGACTGAACGTCTCTTATCAGCCCCTATCAGTTGTTATCGCTTCCAGCCACCCACGGTTGTTGTCCCCATCTCACCCTAGATACACTTGCTGAAACGCACGCCTCGCTGATGCTGTGACCTGCGCTATGAATACGATGACCTCACCTTTCTAACGCCCCTTATCGAATCTTATCAGCAGCTTACAGTTCTTGTCACCCACCAATAATGTTCTTGGCCCATACCCTATATCATATCTTGGAATCAAGAGCTGATGCTGTCACCCGCGTTATGAATATGGTGACCTTCCCCTTCTGAAGCCCCTTATCGAATCTTATCAGCAGCTCGCAGTTCTTGTCACCCAAAAATAATGTTCTTGGCCCGTACTCCTACATCATATCTTGGAATCAAGAGCTAGCTGATAAGATTCGATAAGGGGCGTTAGAAGGGGAAGGTCACCATATTCATAACGCGGGTGACAGCATCAGCTCTCTGATTCCAAGATATGATATAGGGTATGGGCCAAGAACATTATTGGTGGGTGATAAGAACTGTGAGCTGCTGATATAGGATTCGATAAGGGGCATTAGAAAGGTGAAGTCACCGTATTCATAGCGCAGGTCACAGCATTAGCGAGGCGTGCGTTTCAGCAAGTGCTATAGAGGATGAGATG